ACAAGTGGCCGCACATCAAAGTGGCGATTTTGAGCTATTACACGCGTACAAGCCGTGGTGCCATGACCCGGCTGCCTGGTCTGCAGCCCTCACGTCGCAAAGATATCTGGCCGGGCCTGTACGGAGTGGACGCGGGTTGTGTGGTCGTCCGTCGTTGGATGCCACCGATGCATGCATACTGCCAGATGCACTGCCACACCCATAAATCACCTGAAAAGAGAGTGGCGCAAAGTGCCACGGCTGCGTACTGGATGCCCGAGGGAGCGTGGGAGGGTCGCAATCGACTGAGTTTTGCCAGGTTCTAGAACGACTCCTTCAGCACGGCCGGGATGTTCAGACGTAGATCCTTCAGTTCCGCAACCGCAATGATGAGAAACAAGACGGGCGAAGCTGATCCAACCTTGCCAACCTTTCCACTGTTTGATTAATGAGGTACGGAGTACTGTGGTACGGATACTCAGAAGACATCTATGCACTTTTGGGAAGGGGGCGGTGTGCTATGCTCCGTATCCGAACAAACTTCACGTTGCTCCATTCATTGGTAGGGAGACCCTCGCTCTTGAGAGGCGGAAGCCCAAAGAGTATGGGACCCCGATGGGCATTTCGCTCCAGTCAATGACCATCCAGTCCAGCCCTTTATGCCCCCGACCGCCTTGGATCAATGCGGCCATCCCAACCAGCAATTCGGACAGATTTTTCCACCCACAAGAACTTACAACCGGAGGAACGGATGCTGAGCTGGTCAAAGATGGCTTGCTCGGTGGCGAAGAATAGATAGCCAAAACCAAGGTCTGTATGATTTGACAGATGGCAGCTGTGGGGAGAATTTGCGGTGAACTGACGAGAGAAAGCGCTCGTGGCGCTGTACGGAGTACTGTGTTGGTTGTTGTCGAGACTACGGGGGAACCCCTGTTCCGGCCTGTTGCCAGCCGAAAACTCGATCTGAGGCTAAGCCATCATGGGCCGTATTCAGGTGGGAGCATCCGTACCGACAGACTGATAGGCGGTAGACAGGTAGGTAAGACACGTCGATCAGCGGTATCTGGTTTCTAGCATACGTCCAAATGTGAGGTGGCTATCTGCAGGCCTTGCGATAGCTCGAAATTGAGCAGATGAAAACCAGAAAGAAAAGCCTGACCGAGAAGTGCAAACTTGGGAGGCTGGGAGCCACCCAAGGTGGAGGCTAGCGGCCTTCCTTTCCCGGCTTGATTCCGTTCGAGCCGGCCGCGGTGTGTGCGGGTGGGCTACTTCCCCGGCAAGATGTGCGGGGACGTCTAGTACGGATACCGAAGAGTCGACGACCGGTACAAGTTGTCTTTCGCCCTTGTTCTTCTTGGAATTGGGGTTGAGCTGACAAGGCCTAAGAAGGGTTCGCGACGCTGGTTCAGACTCCCTGCAGTCGCAGAGGCCCTATCATTGCTCAAGCGTCCAACAGCAACGGTCCAAGATGCTTCTCAATGGGCAGCAGCCGTTGGCTAATAGACGTTGAAGGCGTGCGGCAGTGTCCAGACACGTGTGGAGGCTAAGTACCTGAGGTACCTCATGTTTTGGATCGGGTTGGCAACGGGTGGCCGGATGGCAGCGTTTGCGAGACGGCAGTTGTCACTGAAGGCCATAGAGCCAGACGTTTGCATGACTTTTTCCCAGAACCGGCGATCGAGTTTCATCTGCTGTAAAGATTTCCCCCTGCCTCAGCCTCTTCGTGCGAATCCTCTGATGCAATATGGAAGATTTGGATCGGGCCGGGAACAAGCGAAATTGGAGCCACACGTAGTGTTGTCGGGGTGGACAGAGCAGCTCGGTACGTCGAGCTTGATATTTGCGTGCGGTGGTGCGGATACCTAGGTTGCAGAGACATATTGGCGATGACTGTGGCCATTGATGAGTATCCGTAGACCATGTGTAACTATGTGGTTCTGAGTCTGTGCTAGGGTGGACGCGGGTCTCGTAGGCATTGAGTGAGTGGTGGCGCATCGTGATTGATGAGACGGCGTACGATAAACGATGCGCTTGTTGTGGACTGATGCACGGTGTCTCTAGGTGGGTACTTTGCACCTTGCGATGCCCTGCGATGCCCTGCGATGGCCTCCAGGTTGGCGTCGATTTCGCAAAGGAATGTAGAGCACAGGCTTCAGAGTGCCTCATGCGTGGAACAGACGTTAATTCCAGCGTCAACCGTGTCTATTCGATCATGCTCTCCACACCTCTCTCGACTCCTCGAGTCCTCGAGTGCCTCTGGTAAGGTACCTACTCGGTTTGGTAATCCAGGCTAGGCGCTGGCTTCTGGCGGGAGCATATTAGAATGTCTCGGCCGATGAGGTATGGTGCAATACCTTATCATTGGAGTGCGGTCGATTCTTGCTGTGCGTTTGTAGATGCGAAATAGAGCACGTGTTCGGCGAGGAGTAGTCAAGGTAGGTATACTAGAAGGAAGAAGCAGAGATGATCAGAACCAACGCCGTGACGCTTCAATGATGCTGGATCTTGAGTGGAGCGCAGGGAGTAGGGAGTAGGGATTCAAGGTGAAGAGCCAGGCGAGTGACGATCACGGAGTTCGCGACGGTCGTGAATGGTGGAGCACAGGTATGGCGAGGGAGTGGGCCATAGCCGAGGGAGGCATTGCATGAAAGTTTGGATATGGGTACGGAGTAAAGAATCTGTGAAAGCCAGCCGCGGAGGGTGAAAACGAAGGATACGTGGCGGCGAGAGTTGAAAGGGAGGTGTGAGGTTGCAGAGGGCGGCTTCCCAGCTCATCGTGCATAAAAGCCGCCAATTTGCCGACTTTATTACCAAGGCAGCGCAAGAGTCCAAGACCCAGCCAGCTCGTTCCACTTGGTTTGGGCTACCTCTACTACGTATCTACCTTACCTAGGTACTACGAATCGGTACGTATTCGAAGAGGTAGGCACTCGGTGATTCGGCCCCGAGATGTCGCAACGTACGATTCCGCTTGCTTTTGTCTGGTCCTGTTCAGCCGTGTCTCCCTTCTCCGCCTTCTTCTCCCACAGCGTTGGATGGACGCTTCTTGGTGAGTGCCTACGCATTATGTTCTGCTTGCACCAGCACTGGCATCTAACCGAAACAGGCCAGGCGCAAAAGAATGACAACTTTGAGTGTAATCTACGGGTGCCACACTAATACTACTAAGGGCCGTCCGGGAGCTCGCGAGGTCGTGGTGGTTGCCAAATCTCATGTGCGACATCAGACGAGCTGGAGCATCCTCTCCATGACTTTGCAAATGGAAACCCGCCCTGTTCGCGCCTGGCTTTGACACATGTGCTCACGAATGCTTGTCGCGAATTCATCTGCCCAGGGCTGCCTCATTCCCTTCCTTGTCTTAACTCTTACACAGTAAGTACCATAGGTGAGTAAAGGTGTACAGATGCGGCAAGAGGCCGGTGAACAAGAAGAGCATTGGCTGCGCGACCGTGATACAGAGAGAAATCGCAATCAAAAAAGAGGTAGAGCAGGGAGGGAGCACACCGGACTGGGGGTCGCCAAATTACACTTCCAAGGACCCGCCAGTTGTTGGCGAGCTGCCTGGAAATCTTTCGTCCCAAGTGGCCGCATCGTCCAATCATGGCGCGTGCAGCTACACCTCGGAAGCGCCAGATGGTTTAGCGTCACCGGCCAAGGGGGTGGGGAGGTGCACTGTAATTCATCGCAGCAAACCTGGAAAATCAAACCTGCCTCTTCCTAGTGTACGAAATACCTACGTCGATTCTCTTGACGCTCGAGGTTCCGTGTGCCTCAAACCCTCTCCATTCCAGGTGGGCCAGTGGCTCAGTTTTCTTTGATGCGCCCAGCCCTGTCGCTTCAAGTTCAGGTGCTCAGTACGGACATGGAAACCTACCCTACCTGTATATCCGTAAACCCATCCCATCCCATCAGGTTGCCGTCAGTCACGGAAGGTGACACGGAAGCAATGGAAAGTGCTTGTTTGCTTCACATAGAGTGAGATGAGAGCAAGAGAAGGGAAGAGGAAGGAAACGCTCGAGAGCCTCTTCCCCCCCCAAACTAATTCACCTAATATAGCTGGTCTCCAAGCGTCCAAGGCGATGGACGGCACCAGGAACTTGGAAGCAATCCCAGAATACGGATACTTGAGAGATACTTCCTCAAGGTACCTTGCCTCAGCCCGGTGCCTCGCTAAGGTGAGAGGCTGGCTATCTCTCCCACCTCAGGCATGAATCTCCAGGTACCGGCCTGTACCTTGTTCCTGCCTTAGCACCCCTCCTCCCTGCTTTCCTGCCAGCCTGCCAAGGTACCACCTCCACTACTTTTGTACCCGAGCAGTTGTCAGTCCTCTCCCCTAGTCCCCCTCGTCAATCACCCTTCGGCGCTATTACTCGAAGGGCACCGCACGAAACCTCTCTAGGACTAAACGCCTCCACTCCTTACTCACTTGGCTTATATTGTCCCACCGCCCTCTGCGCGCCGCCTCCCGACATCCCTCACGCCTTTCCCGTCACTTTGCGCCTGCGAAACCACCTGCACCCCCAGCTGCAACCTGCCTGCATCTGCTGCCCGTCGTCTTCCTCGCTGCCATCCTACCTTACCTTGAGGCTTGCCCGAAATTTCGATCCCAATTCAATTTCCTCATCGCATCACCCAACGACCACTGCGTATTCTTGTCGACTGGCAGTATTGAGGGACCGACAATCCGCGGCGAAAGTAGAAATCGAGAGGGAACAAACAGCTAGCTGTCAAACAGACGACCAACCGCTACCTCGAAATCAGCCGAGAAGAAAGTCGCATCGCGTCGACGGGGAAGGATCGCAATACGAGGCTGCGAAACAGGACCCGCTTGCTCAACCAGCCACCCGACAACATATTCCTCATCCTCGCCAACTTTTGTGAACAACCATCAACCTCAATCAACTCTAAGAACGAGAGGAGCAAATCGGACTTGTAGCTACCTGCCAACCGTTACCGTTTTGCCGCCTCGCCGTTCTATGTACACCTCAACAACGCGACTCTAATACTAGTTACGCCGTTCGAATCCACTCGTCCTCGAGACACCAAAGCCTTTGTTCTTGCCGCCTGCAAAAGCACTTGAGTTTGGGAACACTTGACGTTCAAAGAAAGGGACCACCCATTGGCACGTAGCCGTTAGTCTCGCCGCAAACGTCAGCCACAATGGGTTCAACACAGTTTGGCAACTTTTTTGTAAGTTGTGCCCACCATTTTGACGCATACCGCGTGATGCTAACCATGTCCACAGAACTTCTGTCGAGACTCAACACTACCCATCTGTAATGTATGTTGAATTCTTGATCGACATCTCGCTATATGCATCTGGCGAGCTTTCGCGGGCTTCGGTAACCTAAACTAACCGGTTCTTCCTCAGGTGCTATCCGACAGCCATAGTCAATCCGGCCCATGGGACCAATGCGTGTTAAAGGGTATCTCCCTCAGCGGAGGCCGCAAGTTGGGAAATCTCGGCTCAATTCTCATTGCCGCCCTTGCCATCGTCGTGACACTTTTTCTATTGCTGCGGTCTGAGCGCAAGAAGGCTGCAGTTGGTCGGAGGTAAGCCCGTGACATCGCTCAAGCATTACGCTCGACCAGCAAGCTAACCTTGACGCACAGAGAAATGCAACTGTTCCTCATCAGCTTCATCATCATTGAAATATGCGAGATCTTTACCGTAGGAGACTTTCCATTGGCGGAAAACGTTCGAATTGTTAGTTTCCCCAGTTGATGCTACAGCTTTTTGGGTGCGATTATCCTGACTGGCATATAGGCTTTCACCGGAATCCATCTTGGTATGATTATTGCATCTACCTGGATCCTAATGCTTAATGCGGTCGTTGGCTATCAAATCGTCGACGATGGAACGCCCATGTCCATGGGACTGATCATTGCCTCCGCCACCATCCTCTTGGGCGGTACACTCTACATCACGCTCGACACCGGCTTCAAGTGGACGGGTTACTGGAACTCTTCGTACGACGCGCCAAACCGCCACATTCCTCTCTACGTCTTGTACCAGCTTGCGCCGCTCATTTTCCTCGTCGCATTTTTCGTTCTCGAAGCTATCCTCGTCGTTCGGGTTTTGGGCGAGATGCGGCCCATGATCTACTTGACGACAGCCTTGCTACTTTTTGCCATTGGTCAGATCTTCAACTACGTCGTGAGCTCTCACATCTGCAATGGCACAAATGGCGCGATTGACGGCGCGCTATTCGAGACTTTGTTCACCCTGCTTGCTGTCGTGGCAGTCTGGGTGTTCTGGTCTAGCATCACCGAGGATGACTGGCCCATGCCTGTTGGAAACACCTTCCCCTAGAAAAGAGGCCACTCTGCCAAAGGGGAAAACGATATGATGAGACCGTACGCAAACAACTTGTCGAGCACTTGGACAACGAAGTCTGCGCGGCAGTGTGGCTGCTGCTTACTTACGAGGCAGTGATGGGCAGGTAGCATGTCTGGGGTCATCAGTCATGCCGTGGCAACGAGTCCGCTTAATCTCGACGGCGCACCGTACCAAGGGGCATACTTGGCTGTGTCTTTCCGTTGTGATGATACGGTCGCCAGCCGCCTCTCACTAGGCCATACGGCGACGAACCGATGACGATTCGAGAAGTTGAGCTAAGTGGCATGGAGCCCACGAAGACGCACAATATGGCCGCGCCCGTAATTGGATCCGGAGACAACCATGTCTGCTCTGGATATTTTCTTTACACTCTTTAGCACCGGCCGACCCTAATGGTCGAACGACGTGCACGAATCTTGAATACCGAGGGCATGCGATAAGACACGCATGCTGAACATTTCATAATTTCAATCTCACCAGATCCCGAAAGATTTGGAATGGTAATGGGACGAAATGCTGCGTCAGCAGTATGAAGCAGCCGAGAAGGAGAGGGGAGGTGTCTTTAGGGCATGTTTATGACATTTGGAAGAGGATTTTATGTTTGAAAAGCGCAGATGCATGAGACGATGAATGGACGCGCGAGACGTCTCGTCTTGTTTGTACAGCGTGCTGATTTTGATATTCTACGTATTGGCGGACAGTATACCCCAGAGGAGCGACTAATGTATATGAAGGTCGAATGATGGAATTGACAGATGAATGGTTTACTTGAACATTTTCGTCTGAACGATCGTATATATTGTATAATTGCTAAGCGTGCCGCATGCCTACGACGTAAACCTAATGTCAGTAACAACCATCCTCAATGTTCAAAACCACTATGATGTCTGCATAGCCAGTCGGTCCCGCAAGTCGATCATTCAGTTGGGCATGCGTCAACCAACCTTCAGCTCCTTGCTCCTCAACGGGCCAAATAAATGTAAAGCCTCTCAGGTCCTTCCGTAATGCAGGTGGCCAACTTGGCTTTCTGATCAAGCAGACAAACACGACCTCGACAGGTAAGGGATACTCTCACATGGCGTCTAGACGTGCAACGTCGAATAGACGAAGGTTATGTAAAGAATCAAATAATCACTACGCAACTTACAAACGCTACGAGATAGTCCCACAAATTGGTAACGACGCCTGACAGCGACAGCCCCATGCGGCCTGATCCCATCATGTGAATTCTCAAGAAACCGCACCCACGAGACAAACGCTTATGCGACCTTGACTTGAACTAAATTGCAAACCCTTCCTTTCCCTTCTGTTTGGCCGTTTCAGTATCCCTTTTCTTCCCTCTTCAGTCGTCGGTCAAGATATATGGATCTAGGTCGAAGTGACTTGCGAAGACCGGCATTCATATTGAGCTGGTACCAATGAAGCTATTTCCCGCCAGATCTAGGACGAAAAGCCAAGCTTCTGCTTTTGCACGCGCGGGATGATACCCACGAGAATCAAGAGAGACGTGACGACAACAGCCCAGAGCTTCAGTTTCAATACATTATAGTTGAAACCGGTGTCAATGGCTGTCGCAGCCGTCACGAGCAGAAGCACAAGAACGACGTAGCCGCTCCAGCGGTGGTACTTCCAGATGGACTTGGCGGTATCCTCGCCTCCGTACAATTTCGGGGTAGCCCACATTGTGAAGCCGACGATGTACTGCAGCAAGAGGATGATGGAGACGGTGACACCGAGGTAGCCGTGGACGGAGTGGAAGTGGGAGTCTGGGCCCTGCAGATACTTGTTGTACTCGATGATACCGACGCCGGCGACGAGGAAGAGGAAAGCGAGCAGGTTGAGGCCGGCGTGGACGCGTTGGCCGACGCGCTTCTGCTCGGGAGTGTGCGTCGGCTGCAGCGAGAGGATCGACTGGGTGAGGGTGAAGATGGCGAGGCTCTGCGCGAGCGGGTGGCCGGAAAAGAGGATTACGTCCTTGGTCAGCACAGCGGCCCAGATCATGGCAACGAAGATGACGGCGCCAAATTGGGCGATGATGCCGGTACCTGTGAGGGTTTACAAATCAGCGACCCGCCCAAGGACGCAAAGGGAGACGGAGTGTGGCTGAGGGGTGAGGGGAGAGAGAGAGCATCATACCGATAATGAGGTTCCTGGCGATGAATTCGTCTGGTTCTTGCTGGGCGTCGCCGGGTCGACCGAGGAGAGGCTCGAACTCGTTATCGCCATCGCCCCGTGGGGGTGATTCTGGAAGCCCTGTGGCGGAAGACATGGTTGTTGGTGTGGTTGTCGTTGTCGTTGTCGTTGAGAATTGAAAAAAGGGCCTCGGGAAACGGGTCTCGGGGAATGCGTTGTATCTCTAGGAACGAGGGCGCAAAGTTACGACAGATCTACTCTCGATCCTTGCGACAGGAACAGCAATTGTTGCAAGTACTCGGAGTCAGTCAGGATGAAGCGATCAAGTTGGGACATGCACACAGGGCGGTGTTGAAGTATGTTCTCAACACCGTGGAGACTGAGGGCCGGGCTTGGAAGGAGGAAGAGGAAGATGAGGGAAGGAACGGCATTTTGGCGGTCGGAGAAGGTACAGAGAAGTCGTCGATGGCGGCATCGATGACGGCGAGGTTGTCTCGAGCTGCGACCTATCGGAGGCCGTGTATTTCGGATTGAGCAGTGGTTGCAGGGGGTGATTGCAGGGAACGGTGCGCTAAACGTTGCAGGTGGGGTAAGGTCGGTAACCTGCCGCTACCGGTCCGTTGCTGTAGAATTTGGCGTTAGGATACGTCCCGTGCTGGTACAAGCACCAGAAGCACACCTAAACCAGGCAACCGCTACCATCGATCTCACCCACCATCCCGCACGGAGATGGCCACCTCATTCCGCGCGCCAGACGCTAAGGACGGTTGCTCTCAAGCTTTCCCCCAGCATGGACCGGCTCGCATTGTTGTTGCTATTTAGTCGTCTATGCATTCGTCTGCATGTGTGGAGGTTCGGCTTCTGTCTGGGTGATGACTGTTGCCCCCGTGGACACATAGAAGACCACAACGCCGTTTCAGCGATCTCGAGGCGAAGACGAGGAAGAAAGGGTCAAACCCACTCTCCCCGGGTCAGGTAGGTTGAACGGTCTCCCATCTGCCAATGACGAGAGTGATGAGGATGATATGGATGCGAGGTGTGCTCGGAAATTGGAGCTCGCGCCGAAAATCGCTGCTTTGTCTAGGCCCCATTACGGTAGGCAACCTGGAACCGCAGGTAGTGTGCGTGTCATCTATCCCACGAAAGGTGTGGAAGGCAGTGTTGGTGTCAGTGATGACCCCTCAAGCGACCTCTTTTACCAGCTACATATTCACGACAGCAGTTGCCCTTACTTGGGAGTCTAAGGCTCGTTGCTTCCCACGTGATGGACCGAGGGGTGCTTTTACTCTCCGTCGCTTCTCTTTCTCGATTGTTCCTAGCCGCAGTATGCGACACACCTTTCCCTTCGAGCAACAGCATCTTCCCATGATGGATGACCCTGCCGACCGTGATGATGATTGTCGGAGAGTTCAATGCCATATCTTATCAGATCGTTAGAGTGATGGGGTGATCGATGTTTGAAGTGCTGTAGGCCTTCACGTTGCAGGCTGCCACTGATGTACATATACATGTACGTATACACACCAGTATAAAGTAAAGAAGGAAGCAGAGAGAAAGTCATGAAGACATAAGAAGAGGAAGGGAGACATGATCTCACGTGCATATGGTTCAACATACAGACTGTCAGTGGTAGAGTATATACTTACCTACGGAAATAAACATCGGAGAGTCTTCCGGATGGCATCATCTCTGAGCCTCCCGTCCGGCCTTGGCTTGCGTATCGGCTTCCACCGCGTACCTCATCGTCCCCAATTTCTCGGCACCAGTTCTACCAGGAGCCTCCCGTCCCGCCCCGCCGACCGAATAGCGGGGTTCGCACCGTCACACTGGACTCACGGGGGCTCAGTGCCACCCCAACTGGGCCGATGGGATTGCGGGGAAAAACGCAGCAAACCTGTGTCACTTTGTCACTGTGAACGGGAAAAGTCGCAGATTGGTCCGCCGTCTAGCTGTTAGCCCAAGGCACGTTAATTACCTGATTCAATCGAATCATTACGCCTTTTTTTTTGCTTATCGCGCCCCGCGCCGTGACTGCCCGCTGGCCGCCGGCCGCCATCAACCCCTCCAAACCCCTCCAATGCCGCCGTCAGCTGTGGCCGCCCGACCTCGGAACTGGCCGCTCGGCGTAGATTCCACGTCCAGTCGGGTGCTTGAAGAACAATGGGAGAAGGGGGCGGGCGAGGCGCCGAACGGCCAAAGCCCATGACTCTTGCGCGAGGCTTTTACTTCTCCTCATCCGACAAATATTCACTTTTCACTTTCACTTCCATCTCTCATCCTCTTCGACTCCCTCAGTCTACACATCACAAACTACAAGTCGGGATACCATCCATCTAGATATCCTTACAAGCCTCACGTCTTGGTGAAACCCGAACCCCGCGCCCAACGTACCTGTCTGCCCCTCTTCAATTCTCTCGATACCACACATTTCGACCTTCATCATGGCCAGCGAACAAGAATACACCCTCGAGCAGGTCAAGGCTTCCAGGGTCGCCTCAGATGACATTGACACAACATTTCGCTCAAGCAGCATTGGTAAGTAATGAGTGAAACGCCTCATCGCCAACCCCACCACGTACACAACAACCATGTCATGACAAAAAAACAAACACTGATCCTCCCTAACAGACTTGATCTCTGCTGCTCTGGGTGGAAAGATCCTCGCTTTCTCAGATGAATGGTTCGCCGAGGCCACCAACTTGTTGACGCCAACCGCGCCCATCAGGCAACCGGGAAAGATGGTCTACACCGGCGCCTGGTACGACGGCTGGGAGACCAGGCGTCACAACACGGAGCCCTTTGACTGGGTCATTGTCCGTCTTGGTGTTGCGTCCGGCACTGTCGAGGGTGTCGAGGTCGACACCGCCTTCTTCTCTGGCAATCACGCCCCCTCAATCTCGGTCGAGGGCTGCTTCAACCTCAACGACGACGAGGTCGTCTCATGGAAGGGCGGTAGGGGCCAGTGGGAGACGATCCTCGGCAACGAGGAATGCGGCCCGTCGCAGCGCTTCGGATGGAAGCTGGCCGAACCCAAGCAGAAGCAGTACACTCACGTGCGTCTGAACATGTACCCAGACGGTGGTATTGCCAGATTCCGTCTCTTTGGCCACGCTGTGCCCGTCTTCCCCGACGACAAGGAGGCCATCTTCGACCTGGCTGCCGCCCAGAACGGCGGCGTCGCCATCTCCTGCAGCGACCAGCACTTTGGCACCAAGGACAACCTCCTGCTGCCTGGCCGCGGCAAGGACATGGGAGATGGATGGGAGACGGCCCGATCGCGTAGCAAGGGCCACGTCGACTGGACCATCATCCGTCTCGGCGCTCCCGGTTACGTGCAGAACGTCGTTGTTGACACGGCGCACTTCCGCGGCAACTTCCCGCAAAAGTCAAAGATTGATGCCATCTCGTGGACCGAGAGTGGCGAGCCAGGCGCGGACGCCGCCGGCTGGACGGAGATTGTGGCGCCTAGCAAGTGCGGACCGGATGCGGAGCACGACTTCCCCAGCGCCGTCAAGGACAAGGCATTCACACACGTCAAGATCACCATTATTCCGGACGGCGGAGTGAAGAGACTGCGCGTCTTTGGCAAGAGAGCATAGGCATTGCGTTGTGAGGACAGGAGCTAGCTATGTATTCTGTGTTTGAGTCCTATGAACAGGTTTTGCAAGCATAGAAGCATAGGCCGCGAAGGAGTAAAAGGTCAAAAAATATATATTAAAAGAATAACCAAGACGAGGATAGAGAAACAAATCTCCAAAAAAAAAACAAAAAAAAAAAAAAAAGAAATAAGCGAATAAGGGGTAAACTTCATGCCAGGACCTACCTCGCTCCCTTGTGTCTGTGTGAGTGTGCATGCAACCGGTCTTTGAGTGGTTTGGCCGTGCTGGCTGATCATGAGGGGCATTGGCCAGAAGAGAGATGAAGGGGTAAGCCTAACCGCAGTTCTGCTATTCTTGGGTATGTATAGCGCAACGGAGGCTTGAATATGAGTACATTATATAGAAGACCAGCGGCAGGCCTATTATACACCTCACATAACACCTCACATAATGGTGCCGAGGAGGGGTTCTCAACTTGACAGGAGAGAGCGATCTTCAGTTGGTAGAGTTCCGTCAGGGGAAGCTTGGTGGGACACTGCACAGCCAGGGCATGCACGGTCCATACGTAATGGAAGGCACCTACTCTTCTGCAGTAAGGTAGGTAGGTACCTTACTTTGGCCTTACTTTGGCACTGGTTGGAGCCAGGCGGGGGGGAGCTTCCCTCAGCGTTGCTGTTCAGGCAGTGGGTGAAAGGTAAGGTGGCACAGTAGGCACGGATTCGTGCCCGCCGTAAGCCAATAGTGACATCAACAGCCCGATCGCCCGTCGTTCATCTACCTGAACTTGGCCCCATTGGCGTGGACCGTTGCGGGACTCGGGTACCGAGAGTCCTTTCCATGGGACAGGACTGGGTCCGGGACTGGGCACACAGCACACAGCACACACAACTGGACCAAGTGGATTGGACACGGAACAACACTTCGACATCACACGACAGTAGCGGCGCCGAGCGCTATTTCGTTCCTGTTCAACTACCTTACTTCAACTACTTATCCAGTGCTGAGAGACAGACCTCGCCCGACATCACATCTTTGGGAGCTACGAAACTTTCCGTGCGCCGTTTCCCACAAACACCCGGCCCGCATCTTACCTCGAAACTCGCGCCGCATTAAACAATACCCTCGGCCGACTCATTAATGCCTACCGGGCCTCCTGGTTGCCCCTCCTCCCACCATGGACTTCGAGGACGCTAGTGGTGGTTTCGGCGACAAGAAGCCACGCCCACTGCCAGACGACCTGCCCAAGTCTCTCAACGACCGCAGTCGCCGTCCCGTCGAGTTGGTTCCAGAGACGGAGATGTATGATGGTTGGCAAGGTAAGTTGAGGTTCCCACGTTATCCGCCCACTGCCCGCGAGCACCAGGGGAAAGCATCGCATACTGACGCCGCTCGACACATCGCACAGGACAATCACAATTCCTGACAACGCCTGTCCTTGCAAAGCCCCTCAACTTTGGCGACCTAAGCCTAGACGATCGCACCTATGACGAGGACATCACATCAGGCCCCAAGAACAGCGACGCGCGCCTCATGGAGATGATTGCCGCACAAGCCGCCCATCGGGTTGGGCCCGGCTTCGACGACGAAGAAACGATACTTTCAAACGAAAAGCTGTCCGAGGATGAGAAGAAGGATTCGCTGCAGAGAGCTTTGAACATGGCTGCCAGCAATGGCGACGTCGAGAGGGTCAGCAGCATCGTGGGCGGCAAGGCAAAGGCTTATGTCGATATCAATGCGCCGGACGAAGACGGAACCCCGCCACTGATATATGCAAGCTGTTTTGTGAGTCGACGCTTGACGGAAGAGGGAAGTGCTATCGCTGACTCGGATTCAGGGCCACGAGGGCGTCGTGCAGGCGCTCATCGACGCCGGCGCAGATGTCGACAAGCAAGACCGGAATCAGTGGAGCGCTCTTATGTGGGCGATGACGAATAGGCATAAGAGCATCGCCAAGACTCTCCTCGATAACGGTGCTTCGGCCGAACAAAAGACGTCGTCTGGCAGGACGGCCTTCGACTTCGTCCCTCCCGACAGCGACATGTCCTTCTACCTACACGATAGCGGTTACAATATTGGCAATGCCGGTACCGATGACTTCTACAACCCTGGGTTCTCACAAGATCGGTTCGAGGAAGAAATGGCCGAAAACGAGCTACGAAGAAGGATGATGATGGACAGCGCCCGAGATCTTGAGGTCGATTTGGGCAATGTTGGCATGGATGACCAGCCAGAGGTAAGCTTTGCTCAGGCACATCTCAACGGACTGAATGCTGACGTGCGCAGAACTCCGAGGAGCTTGAGGAAGAACAGCCAGAGTTCGAGTGGTCCCGCTGTCTTCACGACCAGATGTTTGTTTTCCAGGAACACGAGCTCGATCGTATTCTCGACATTATCATCACAAACATGACGCCCCAGCGATCACCGGCACAAAAGCCTGTACCGGCGAACATGATTTTCCTGAGCGCACGATATGCACATTACCACTCCAGCCCCGATCTCCTAGCGAAGCTCATGATTTCAGCCATGGACAAGATCAACGATGTAGTCGAACAGTACCAGTGGGACATGACGATACTGGCCTTCTGGATATCAAATGCCACTTTGTTGCTTCACTACCTGAAAAAAGACGCTGGGCTCGTGGAGGCCACGGTCGAGTTCCAGGCTCAGCTGTCAGAGCTCATCAACGAGATATTCATCCTCATTGTGCGGGATGCCGAGAGGCGCTTAGACAAGGTGCTTGACGCAGCGATGCTAGACCACGAAACAATCCCAGGCTTCGAAGACATTGCGTTCCAGAACGAGTGGAGGATCTTCAAACGAAAAGCACAAGTCAAGGAAGAGCCCATGGAGAAGCGCTTCCGACCCCCCTCTCCAAAACAACGGGCGAAGCCTGCTCCGCGCAACGTCACTTCATTACTCTCATCCACCTTGTTTGTTCTTGATCTTTATGATATCCACTCAGTTATTACGGCGCAAATCATCTCTCAGCTTCTCTACTGGC